CCGAGACCACTGAGCATTTGGTAATAATTCCCGAATATTATTCTGATTGATAAATTCTTTACTGTAAATTCACAATTGCATAAGTTTTTTTTTATAAATTTCGCTTCTTGCACTTAATTAACTTCTTATCGGAAATAATACCGAATCTCGGGCTTGCTGCAATCTTCATCAGCCTCCATAGTACACACCCAACTCGAGTTTTAAATTAAAAATATATTATAATCCCTGCAATAGCTCAATTAAAGGGAAATTGGATGAATATATAAAAAAGACGATGCCAGGTATACCGGATAATTTTCATATCGATTTTTCGCTCTTATCCGGCCAATCAATTTTCTATCAATAAAATGGTAAATAATTATGTCTTACAACCCTTTGTAATTACAGTAAGTTCTCAGAAAGTGAAGACAGAAGACTTGAGTGACGCTTTTCACATTTTGTGAAGTGTAATCAATTGCATGGAATTATTATAGACAAGTTCAATGTAATTTCGTCTTTAAACAAATTTTTTACATTTTGATCTTAGTCATGGAAATAATTGCTATGGATTATTTATTCTAACGCCCTGAGCGACAAAAGCGGGGAACATTAAAGTGAAAAATGAAGTTAAATTTCAATTTCATTCATTTACTGTAATTATTTATCTCGTATAACAGAAGAAACAGAAAGAAGAAACAAAATTCCGCATCTTCCGTAATTCCATGGATATTTCCAATGACTCACCGCAGAAATAGATCGTTAAAAATAATTTGCAATTTCTATCAGAGAATTTCTTGAATTCTCTATTAAATAAGTTTAAATTCGATTTTAATTAAAACAGTCATCAAATTTCATATTCATCTTGAAAATTCGAGAAAATTAAGTTTTTCACGTTAATTGATGAGTGATTTTCATGACTTTTCACTGCCATATCGATCTAAAGAATGAGAACAGCCGGAATATTCAAGGAATTAAATGATTCGTCGATAAAAAATCCCACAGAAATTTTATTTCTCTTTACCGTTGTCGAAAAGTTCAAGTTTTTTAACTTGAAACTTCAAGTGTAATTACCAGTAAATGTAGCCAGCAATGTAAGCTGACTCTCCAAGTTTTATCACTTCACTCCGGAGTTATGATAATACCCAGATGATGACTTCATAAACGAGAAGTAAAAGACTTCAGATGAATTTCATGAAATCGTATGACATTGAACGAATTTTCTTTTACTTTTCCCAAAAATTTCTGAAAACCACTGGAAATTATGAATATTTCCCTCTAGTTATTTTCCAAATTTAAAAAATGACAAAATAAAGTTTCAAATACTTCCGGTAGAATTGCATTTGCAATCACGAATTGAATAGAAATCATAAGATGCAGCTGTGAGAATTCTCTTCAGGTTCATAGAAATGATTTTACCCGCGGTTTGATGCATGAAAGTTCTAAAGCAACTGAACTAGTGCAGTGGTCTAAGCAGATCTATAAGTCACTGGTGCACACAGAATATCCAGAACACCAAAGGCAAGCGACTGATGCTTTTTTTGATGTGCACCCGAACGAATCATCTCTGAAAATAAGTCTGCAACCATCAAATCATAAATAATTAATAACATCGATTTTTTTTTTGAAAATCAAAATTGCAGTGGATCGAAGGTAATTGTTAATATCGCAATAGCTTTCAATAAAATTGAGCTGTTAAAAATTTATTGACGCCAATTACAGCCATTTGAATTTTCAATTATTTACAGCCATTTGAATTTCTCATTTATATCGGGAATGAAAGAAAATTGGATTTCTCGTGATGAATGATGATTGATTTTTTAATGAAAGCTTCCATTTTCATCCTTATCGTGAAAATTTAACATAAAATACAATTAAATTTCCAACAGATTAAAAACACAGGACAAGAAAAGGACTTAAAAAACCGATTCATCAATGGAGATTTTTACATAGGTTTGTCTTTGGTAAAAATTTCAAGTTATTTTACTTGAATAATTGATAAATCCGTTGATAAGCCTCCAATGAGAGATGTGGATTCAGCATGAATAATATTGAATAAATTGATGAACCAATACCATGGAAATTTTCAATTACCGATTTCAGAGATCGATAAAGTGCAATTCAATTTATATCGGCAATTTGCGTTCATTACATTATTGAAATAATTTATTTGACTAGTTATTTCAACAATGTGGAGGGATGCAATTGTTGTTTGCTGTTGCACTTTGCCTGAACGTATAGCACTCAAATCACATCGAATTCGTTTTTTTTTCGATAAAAAAATACAAATACGAAATATGAATGGTTTTTTCGCAGTAACTATTGACGCGGAATATTCCTCAATATGCTGAAACCACAAAATTCAAATTATAAATCGCCAGGTACATTAAAAAATGAAAAAATGAATAAAATTGTCACGACTTTGAAGTTCAAATTATCAAGATTTTTCATTTTTAACTATATCTACGTTTCCAAAATTACCATATTGTAAAATTTTCACCATTAACAGATAATACCTAAATACTTAAAGGATTTATCTTCTATTTAATCGATAAGTTAATTTAACAGTTAATAATCAAAGTCAACAATACCGCCTCAAACATTCCATCTTCACGATGTCAATTTTAAAATTAAAAAATTGAATGATTAATATTATTCTTCAAGATTGCACCCTTACGGCTTAACCCTCACAATTACACCAACAGCTGGAGCTGAACGGCCAACTCCTGTTATAGCGCGATTTTTCAGTGAGATTAGATTATATGCATCATTAATCATGTATTGTTTTGCGTATAAAAATGGTATGGATAAAAAGTCAGGTCACATCTGTAACGTCCGTTGAAGCGTCATTTAACTAGCATTCAACACCGCCTACAATGTTTCGCGGTATCAATTACAATTAATTGTTTCCTCTTTTGTACTGGAAACATCCGGGACAAAATACCCCGTCATAATTAGGCTGGGCGGAACACCAATCTCCCTATCCATCGAAAATTCTCTCTTCAGTAATTTCTTATTATCGAAAAATTAAATTTCACCATTTCGTGAGCTTTTTTCATGTGAGATTGGTGTTTCATTTTGATCGATTGATGACAATCTCGGATGTTTCGTTACACTCGATCAAAAAAATAATAGCGCAAAAATACCAGTCACTCGATATCCATATGCGTTCATTAAATGGATGAGAGAGAAATATTAAATTTTATACCAATAGAATTATTTCTCGAGTCATCCTCTCCTGACGAGGTTAAATTACCGGGGCAAATTGTGAATTATCCTCAAGTAATGATAATTCATCTCATCTAGAATTCCGTAGGATTGGACGATTAAAATCATTTTAAGCTGTGGCATATAAGGGTATACTGCAGACAACTTGGGAAAATGTAGGAGAGTCTGAGGTGAAACAAACACCCACCTAAAATTGTTTAACTCTTAATCTTTAACATAACTCTACGTTTAAACAAACATAAATAGATAAATGAAGTATTTGGCAATTAGTCGATTGATGGACTGTCCAGTGGGATTCTCCAAAGATAAAAAACCTAAATAATGCAAACAAGTTGCTAATAATAGTATACATCATCGAATGGGCTTGAAATTCTAATTGGCTGTGCTTAAACGCTCAGATAAATAAATAAATGAGAACGGAAACGATCCATCAATGTGGATAGAATGAGTGACAAGTAATCTTCTGTCATGTCTTGATTTTTTGGATATTTAACGTAAAAGTTGAAAAATTACAAATTAATTCGCCAATATTCGTAAAAGTACTCTAGTGTTGAATTGTAGATTGTAGAAACTAGGGGAATGACACTGGATGACTTACTACACATCATCAGGAAAATAAATTAATAAAATATTCACCATCATAATTAATATGCCACAAAGCAAAAAACTACTTCCTCCACCAATTCCCGTGAGTCTCGAAAGATGGTGTTGAATTTATAATCAAATAAACGTCTAAACTGTTTGAAAACCTCTCCCTATTATCGAATTTTGAACTTTCCTGAGAAGCTTCTCATCTTTTCCAGTATCCAAACACAGATTGCCATACTTCCAAATAGCTAAGAACATTGTCTCACCAAGAATCCTCCTGACTCTATACAATACCTCTTGAAATTGAAACATACCGTATCTATTCCCAAAACTAATTAATAATTTCCAATACCTCTACAAATACTGGAGCTCCTCCGACGTATCCCGTATCATTTTCTCCCCCAATTTCACCATAATAAAAAAACCACTATAAAACGCCAGAAGGAAGGTTAAGGATCACCTGAGCCGTCTGGTCAGAACTTCGCAGCTCTCCTCTCAAAAAATTAAGCAAAAAACACCGAAAAAAAAGACAAATAAATCAGAAAGAAATGAGAAAAAAGGGAACGGTAGGGGTATTTTTTTTTTACCGAAAGGTTGTATATGAAGAGACAAAAAATAGTTGAAGCACGAAGGTGGATCCTTGAAAGGGTTTAAGGCGATGGGCCAACGCTACAGTACAATACATCCTCCTTTTATCCTTCTCAATTAGCCGAACCTCCTCTAGCCATCTCTCTTTTCGAAGTGAGCTCACCTACATACACAAATGAACGGTTAGTATGAAGGGAATAAGGGGAATAAGGGGAACGAAGGGAGCGAAGGAACGAAGGGAACGAAGGGATTGGTATACTGGTATACATATACTATATGGGTCTGTGAAACCCTTGGACTCCTAGTATCCTGAGGGTAGCACCTCACACGAAAACTCTCATCTACCTTGGGCTCGTGTATTTCCGTAGATACGATCGTTTGGATTCGGTTAAGTTCGCTCTTTGTGCCTTCGTCGATCGACAAAGACAGAGAAAGGGAGAGAGACGAGGAGAGACGAGGAGAGACGAGGAGAAACGGAGAGAGACGGAGAGAGACGAAGAGAAACGGAGAGAGACGAAGAGAAACCAACTCGGCAAGATGGCGGACATCGCGCCAGTACTGGGGGTGGGGATTGCTGTGGCTTCAACTCTAAAACGCATTCAGTTCCCTCTGGGGCCTGACAGCGGGTGAATTTACGCTCGTCTGTGCTGGCAAAAAACCACGCTACTGCCAATAGCGGCTCATTTTATCCACTCGATCATTAATTGTACACTGAATGGTTTATTTATTTTATACCCCCACGAGTGACGGATACGTTCATAGATTAATTACACAATGAGCGAATATTTATTGGTTGATAAAACTGCATGAGAATTGGAGAAAATAGTGATAAAGTGTATTTTCCAATGAAGGATCACGTTTAATTTTACAAACACACCCCTTTATCCGTCGGTAATATCGCAACTTGGTGACAACTTTCGTTCATCGATTTTCTATTATCTTTTGGTTGGCTTTTTTTTTAGTATTGTGGTTGTGATATGCGAGTGTTTATGTGAAAATTGTGATTTTTAGGTGCGTTAACTTGTGTCACTTTTTGTGTCTTTTGACGCCATTTTTTTGACGAGAGAGGAGAGGATTTATGGTATTGGGGTTGACGTGTGAGAGTGAGGTGAGTGAATTTGTGAATTAATATTTGCAACAATTAAGGTAGTTGGCAGATATTAGTTGGTTATTAGTGACAACACAGTTGGAAAACTTGTTCTGTGCTTTTTGTTTTGTGTGGGGCTTTGGACAATGTGAATTCAGATTGATTGGATTTTGGAACATACAGGAATACCAGCGTGGATTAAAAATACGAAATTCCAGGGTAAGTTGAGAATTATTTCACTGATTTTTACTCTTGGGCGATTGGTTTGAGACATGGAATGCTTCCTCGGTATTAAATAAAAATGAGGTATTTTTTTTGTTGGTCTTGAGTGCCATCTCGATGTTCGGGGATGTGAGTGAAAAGATCCTGAGTTTAGAGTACGTACTCTTATCTCAAGTGGGTGTAAGGCACTGAGATTTCATGATAATAAAAACTATGTCGATATGCATATTTATGGATGTACGGCAAGAATTATCTGGAAATGTGATACGGTATTTTTTGTTCTCAATCTTGTTGGAGCTCGTTGTCATTTCAGAGAAAGTTTAATGCTTGACTGTTGATTATGGGAATGGAGAGATGTGAAATGATTATAATTCCACCGATTGTTTATCGTTGATATTTGAAAATTCCTTCCAGGAACTTTTGCTAGGGAGAATTGTAGGAAGGGGATGGTCGATGCGGTTGGGGCGGAAGTATGATGAGAGTTGTTTCACACAAATTTCAACGTATGCATATGTATTTGGAGGTCTGCATTCGGATTTGATTGTCGTTACGGTCTACTCTCAAACCACTCTTTTAGAAATAGGAGAGATAGACGCACCCGAGTTGAGCAAACATTCAAAAGTTTTCAGACATTTCCATTGAATTATTTTGAATAATTATGGGTAAATAGAGAAAAACTTGTGGGCTATGGGATGCATTTTCGATTGTGCCTTTCGTCTTTTTTGGAGACGTCAAAATTTAATGTATTCAGTGGAATTTGAGAATTGTTAAGGCGAGACAGTTTTGAATGCTTCAGTGTTTGAGGTTCTACGAGAACAAACTCAAATGTTGGAAGGTAATTAGGGACATTGTCTTCTTTCTTGCTTTATTCTGGTGTTCGGATATTACTTCGGAAAACTCGTAGTAATGATATTTAACCGGTCATTTAAGTGTTTACAATTGCTCTTTTAGAAATTATTTGGTATTTCACGCCCAGTCGTCTGAATTTTCAATTATATGAGTGTGAATTAAATTTCAATTAAAAATGCTCACTGAATTAATCATCTATCATGAAAGCTACAGAAAATTGAATTTTCCAATGGTTGCAAATAACTTCGCAAAATGCCAGAACTCTTTTATATTTTTTATCAAACTTTGGAAATAATGAAATTCCGATGTTGAATGACGCATATTTCGAGAATGTGTGGACAAAGTCTTTCAAATTTCCGGAATAGCTTATCATCGTACCTAAAAGATAATCCACATTTGGTATCTACCATATTTTTGTTGAGAGTATTGTCTAGCTATAAATCTTTCAGTCTTCAAGCAAGGAAGCCCAATAGAATAAGTGGAGCTGAAACATTTAGTTCTTTGTTCATTCCAAAGACAAAGGATGCCAACAGTTTGAATCTAGATATCTACCCGAAAATGAATTATTGAAATAAAAAAAGTTTTCATTATCATTATGGAGTTATTGCCGATATCTTCTAATTTTTCAAGTTTTTAACCAATTCCCGAGAAACGGTTGATAAAACTTTTGCGGAAATTCACAAAACTTTACCAAAAATTTTCAAAAATAAACGCACGACTTAAAAAATTTGTGAGTCATTGGATAATTATAAAACCAAAAAACTGTATGTTTTTTATATGTCAATCTGATCCATGGTTTTTCAGAAATTTGCAAAAAACATGAAAAATGAGAAGATATCGGCAATAACTCTTCAACATGAAATTGCAACTGGAGAATAGCTTGGTTAATTGACGAAATACAAAGTACGAAAAATTTGTGCTCGTTTATATAAGTGAAAATGCTATGATGGTTTCGCTCAGTACCATTAACTGCTCCAAGGCTATTCAAACATTTTATGAAGCGCCTTAGGCTTCATGGGGGGTTACTTCAGGAAGACTTAAATGGAGATTTGGGGTGTCGACTAGTGACGAGGGTTTGTCTCCAACAGTGAGGGGAAGGTAACGAGTAACAACATAAGGAAAATATAAATGTGTTGATACATCGGGATGTCACTGTTTTTCCTCTCATCCCCAAATCTCTAAAACAAAATGAATCGAGAGAGAAAGAGGGAAGAGAGAACAGAGAAATATTCGAGATTCCGCAATTGCATTCAACATTGAGTTGATTCGATAGAAAAAATAAATGAAATTCGTGTGTAATTAAAACTACAGATCCTCGCCAACTCCATTTGCAGGTGAATGCTTTCTTTTTTTTTTTTCAAAGAGTATACGGTAGGGAAATTGAGTAGGATTTTTTACTCCCGAGTTTTTTTAATTCAAACTTCTCCGTATCCCAATAGCTCTTTAATAAACCTGAAACTTTTGTGACTGTCGTGTATCAGTGTCAGTTTGAACAGTGAGTGTATACCACCCGAAACTTTTAAACCACTTTTTTTGTATGTACACACATTCCAGTTGCTGTTAGACTTTTATCTGTCGTTCAAACCGGGTAGTTTATATTTATACAAGGGCATTCTTTTGTTATTTAAAGTTTTTTTCATTGAAATAGGAAATTTCCCTGTAAATTATATTCAAAGGTCTGGTCCTCACTCACTAACTTTTACACTTTTCATTACTTTTTTTCTCCTCTTCATTACCGGATAATGATATTCCTCATATAATGAATAAAATTTAAATATTTCGAGCTTTTATTGCCCTATGTTTTTTTTTTAATATACAAAATAGTGCTCATGAGGAAAATAGGGCAGAGCTCTTTTATTGAAAAAATAATGCAGTTTGAGAAAGTGTGAGCTCATGATGAACAATGGCGGTCTCCGGGGAGAGTGAATTAAATTTTACATCCGCGTTTATTTTTGCTAGATACTTTCTTTGATTAATTGCTTATCAAGGGAATTCAATTATGACCAAAGGTGAAAATAGGAAAGTTTGATGGTACAATTTAAATTTAATTCGCTGAGTGATGTGGAGCTCCAAGTTATGCAGAAGATGGGCATTTTTATAATTGTCTCTTTCAACTTCAACTAACATTGAGGATAAAGTGGGAAGTATGGAGACGTTTATCATAAACTGTCGTGTGTGTTTACCTCCATATTCAAGTGATGTACATACCAAAATGACAATCAAGTATATAGGATTTTATAGGAGATTGCACTTGGCATCGGGCAACCTCGTGAACACTCGTTTTTCTCGTCTTTCTCTCCTCAGTGCTGCGCACGATAGTTGTCCTGATACTACTCGACTATCCTCAATCGATTTCGCTTTGGCTGTTGTATCTGTCGCTTCATATTCTATGTATCCACCACGATGAGCTTTTTTTCTGTCTTTCTTTTATGAAATTCAACTGAAATTTCAAACACGTATAAGTTTTTAATGAAAAGGGAGTAACTTAACTCGTTAACGAGGGGCTATTTATTCGTGAAATCATGAAATCAAAGTCATTTGATGTCATTGGAAATTAATAAATTAATTATTATTCCAAGAAATGCTAGGAAATCAGTCCTGAAATCATGTGAAATCATTTAGAATCACTTGAAGTCGGATAAAATCCTTTGGGATATTGAAATCGGAGGAGGAGCTATTTCAAATGAAGATTTTCATGAAATATTTTGAAATCACTTTGAAATGAGTCTGGAATCGAGTGAAACCAGCAATCATCGTGTCATGATATTTGACAACGGATAACCCTTCGCTTTTTAATATTTTATCAATGTGTAATAATAGAGTAAGGCATATTCTTACACTATCGACGTATTGGAACAATTAAGATTTGCTATTGCATCTGTCCCTATTGTGTGTATCTTGCTCAATGAATATTTTTGCTCCAGCGCATTGAACTAAAATTCTAAAATCATGAGGATCGAGTGGATTCGCAGAAATGGAAAGGAGATAAGCTCACTCATAAATATTCGATAAATGTGTTGTGAGGGGATAAGGCATATCCTTGCTGTATCGAGTATATCATATGGTAGAGACTCTTCTATTGATAATTGAATTAGAATCAGATGGATAGGAAATGTAACGTTTTAAAATTCTATTCTTATTCCAAAAATCACCAATTTTTGGTGTTGTTTTCAACTTTTTTAAAAACTTTTGTAAGTTTTCAAAAAAATGGAGACAAACTGGAGATCAATTTTTGATTGATCATGGAACATGCAAGCCGAAAAATTATGGAATTTGTCTTGACTTTTTTTTCGTTTCCAAAAGACTTGGAGATTTTTTCTTCACATATTTTTTTTACACTAGTCAGAGAAATTCTACGAAAATAAAGGCATTCTAGTGACTAGGAGAAATGGATTTTATTACGATCGATGGATTTGAATTATACTTTCAAATTGTCGGAAGCAGCTGCGAAACTATTGATTGGGAAATTAGCTCTGTTCGTCACAATTGGTTTATTTTATTTAGGAAAAAAGTTGGATCAAATTGTTTGATGAGACATTCGACATATTAAATTCGTGGATAAATTTCCGTCGATATGATCGAATTACTATATTATTATGGAGTTTTCTTGGAGTTTTTTTTTAATCCGGTCAACAAAAACATGGAAAGGACTAACCAAAATTTATGAGATTCTACAATTCTAAAGGCAGAATAACAAAATAATAACAATCATTACAAAATATAATAATCAGTGTAAATAACTTATGGACAAGCTGATCACTATAAACTGTCAAAAAGGTATACTCTTCTGCGCTTATATATTTTGTGTTTCATGAACTGAAACATTTGCTGTCATTCAAATGACTGAATCATGAAAGTTGAGAAACACACACTAGACATAAACTAGAATTCCTTCCTGAAGAATAACATTCCGCCTCGTCAAAATCTCAAAACGATTAGATAATTACGGAATTATAAATTCTCATAATTCCTTTCTATATTAATATTCATTAAACATTTAGAAATCCGCTTCAGAAATTAATCTATCTTCAAGTAATCGATTGTCAAATAGATGATAAAATTAAAAAAAAGGAGAAAGCCTCAATTCTTCGCATCGTCATTCAATTTTTATAAGAAAAGACAAACGGTATTTAAAAAGGCGTAAAAAC